GTACCATACTCCACTTCATTGATTTATCCATCGCAAACTCCATGCTCCAGTACTGACAAGACAGCCAGGCCATGCAACGAGCTGCAAGGAACAACTCCCAGTACCTGGAGTTCAAGCTCATCTTGGCCAAAGAACTGATAACCCAGGGACAACCATGTCAACAAGACCTGAATGATTCGAGTGATGAGGAGTTCTCCCCAGGGATCAAGCAACAGAAGCATCATCCATGTGAGAGAATAAGAAAATGTGCAGTCCAACAGTCCAAGGGCTTTTAGGTGCAACAGTAAAACATACGTGAGATGTGTGAAGTGCCAAATGTATCAAATGATTGGACTTTTGTGAGACAAAAGGTCCAGTGTAATCCGTTGTTCCTAGGCCAGTTGCCCAAAGCTAGAACATGATCTGCTTTTCTGTTTTATATAAATATGTTTATTATGTTTTAATATTCTGTTTACAAATGTTTTTGTGGAGATTTCAATTTTCATAAAAAGCTCTTGAAATGTGTTAATGTGAACACTTCTGATCAACAAATTCCTGAATGTGTACTGAAGAGCACATGTTGTAAAATTTAAATAAAGATAAGTAAAAACAAAATAGGTTTTACCAGTGGTGGACAAAGTACTCAACTCTAGTACAAAAGTAAAAGTATTGATACTCATGGTCAAGTTTACTCAACTACAAGTAAAAGTTGCTCAGTCAAAAGTTTACTCAAGTTAAAGTGCTGAAGTACTTTTGAAAATACTTAAGTATTCAAAAGTACATGCATTTAAAATGCTGATTTTGAGTGATTTTACAGAACCTTATAACGCTCTGAAACCACCTGATGACGCACTGACAGGTAGAACCACTCTGCTACAAAAAATCTACAGACCCTGGAAAAACTTTGAATATAAGTCAAAACGTCAGCATAGGAATGCAATAAAGACAATGATAGCTATTTTAATTATTTTTTTATTTAAAACAACCCCCCCCCCCCCCCCCACACACACACACACACACACACACACTCTGAAAAATGTAACTCATCATCCTGGTTTCATTAAAGAGTTGTTCTAGATGCTGATGTCTGTGGCAGGAAGGATCTCTCGTAGCGTCTGTCCTACAGCAGATCTGAAGAATCCTCTGACTGAAGACACTTTGTTGTATGACAGTCTGTTGTTGTATGA